TCATAATTGCCAATTTCAAAATTTACCATAAGCTACAATAATCAGAAATAAATTACTGACATAAAAATAGACATATATTAATAGATCAGTTGAAGGAAATTGAAAATCCTGAATTAAAACTTCACATTTACGGCCAATTGATTTTAACTAGCATGCCAATTCAATTCAGTGAGTAAGAAAAATGGTCTTTTCAACAAATAGTACTGGAAAAACCATGTATCCACCTGTAAAAGAAGAAATCGGTATCCCTACTTCATGCCAGGAAGTATTTTCTCGAATTTTGTGAAAGAGATTTAAGAGGATTAGTACCATTTTTCTTTAAATATTTCATAGAATTCACCAGTGAAATCATCTGGGCCTCATGCTGTCTGTTTTGGAAGGCGATTAATTGTTGATTCAATTTCTTTAAAAAACATAGCCCTATTCAGATTTTTACATTATCTATTTCTCATTGCGTTAGTTTTAGTACTTTGAAGGAAGTGGTCCGTTTAATATAAATCGCCAAATTTGCATGCATAGAGCTCTTCATAATATCCCTTTCATAGATTTTGAATATTTTTGGAATTAGAATTCATGACACCTCTTTATAAACTTACATTATTGACCTTAGACCTTTTTTCCTTTGTAATAAATATATCTAATGCTATAAACGTTTATCTAAGCAATGCTACATCAAACACACTTTGATAAGTTGTTTTTTATTTTTATTTCATTCAAAATACTTCTAAATTTTTTGACTAAATTGAACAATTTAATACTGCTTTGACCCTAGTATTAGTTAGAAGTGTGTTAATTAACCAAATATTTGGAGATTTTGTGGCTGTACTGTTGTTAATGATTTCTAGGTTAATTCCACAGTGGTCTGAGTGCATACTTTGAATAATGTCTTTTCTCTTAAATTTGTTATGGTGTGTTTGTGGCTCAGAATGTAATGGTTTATCTTTATGGATGTTCCATGGGACTTTGAGAATAGTGTATATTTTACTGTTGTTGGATAAATTATATCATAACTGTAAATTGGAAACATATTTTGCCTCATGAATATTGATACTTTGTTGTCAGGCACACACATACTCAGGATTGTTATGTCTCCTTGGACAACTGACCACCTTATCATTACACAATGGCCCTCTTTATCCCTGATAATTTTCCAGCTCTGAAATATGCTTTCTCTGTAATGAACATAGCTACTTCTACTATGTTTTAATTGTTCTAACATAGTGTATATTTTGGTCTTTTTTAATCTACTCTGATAGTGTGTCTTTTAATTGGTGCATTTAAAACATTCACATTAAAATGATTATTGATACAGTGACATTATTTTTTACCATATTTATAACTGTTACCTATTTGTTGTCTATTTGTTGTTTTTGTTTTTTGTTCCTTTATAATATCACTGTCATATATTTCATTTACCACATAAGCTATAATCTTTTTTTTTTTTTTTTTTTTTTTGAGACGGAGTCTCGCTGTGTCGCCCAGGCTGGAGTGCAGTGGCCAGATCTCGACTCACTGCAAACTCCGCCTCCCGGGTTCACGCCATTCTCCTGCCTCAGCCTTCCGTGGAGCTGGCACTACAGGTGCCCGCCACCGTGCTCGGCTAATTTTTTGTATCTTTAGCAGAGACGGGGTTTCACTGTGTTAGCCAGGATGGTCTCGATCTCCTGACCTCATGATCCGCCTGTTTCGGCCTCCCAAAGTGCTGGGATTACAGATGTGAACCACCGCGCCCGGCCGCTGTAATCCTCTAATATATTGCTGATATTATTATTTTGAACAAGTTGTTATCTGATAGACCAGTTACTAGTAAAACAATATATATTTTATTTACTTTCATTTATTCCTTCTTATATTATCTTTATGTAAATCCAAGTTATGGCCCAATAACATTTTCCTTCTCTCAGAAAAACTTCTTTAACATTTCTTATGCAGCTCTACAGGCAAAAAATCATCTCAGTTTTTGTTTGTTTTAAAATGCCTTTATTTCTCCATACCTTTTTAAGGAATTTTGTTAAATTCTAATACTTTTCACTGTCTCTCCCTTAGCAAAAATGGTCACCCCATCTCCAGTGGAAATAAGCTCTCCACAGCCAGTGGCAGTGGCATTCAAACACACAGTGAAAGCAGCCTCTACCTACAGTAGTATCAGCCTTTTCACCTCCCACAGAGGTTAGAAAGGGCAGTGACAGTTGTTTGGTTCTCTGGTTAAAACATGGATCAAAAGATAACCCATCATGAGTGAGCTGGCTATACTCTCTCTGGCTTGGTTTAATGTAGATGAAGGGATAAAAAGGCTTAGAGAGACAGGAATGTTAGAGTGAATTTGTCATTAATTCACTCTAACATTAATGACAAATGAATTTGTCATTCTACTCACCCACACTTGGAGGGTCCATAAAACATGTCTTTCACCAATTTTTTGAAAAATACATTCATGGAGATATCTACGGCATCCTTGAAGAGCCCTGTAATTGCTCTTCTCTAATAGTCCTGCCCTTACAGTGGAAACCACAGCTACTCAACCGTAAAACATAAATACAATAGAAATAATTGGATCTCAGAGTGACAGAGGCCAGCATCCAGCACTTTACCGCAAAAGGCAAAGTGGACTTACTTGCTAGGTCAGATAGCAAAGTCAAAGTAGCAACCAGAATAATCTGACTTGCATAGACCTATGACATTGGCTAGTTAATTATGATGTTCCCAGAAGTGAAACAGATAGGAAGCCTACTAAATTCTTACTTGATCTTTGAAAAGAGAGGAGCTCCATATCAAATGGGGGGGGGGGGGGGGGGGAAGGCCTAACTCGAACCATACAAACAGAGAGCCACTGCTTCTCAATCAATTCTAAGACAAGCCAGTTTATAGATCCAGAACCCATTGAATGGGGAGGTGAATGCCAGGTCTCTTTGAGGAAGAACCCCAGTGCAATACTGAAAATATTTACCATTAACCTTTTTGCAACCTTCCTCAAAAAACCTATGTCCTTTTATGAAAGTAACTGTGTTTTGGGGAGAATGGAATAATAAGATCTTTGGGGTGACTACTGGACACTAGCTCTGAACTAACATAGATTCAAGGAGAATCAAATTGTCACTGTGGGCCTTCAGTCATAGTAGAAGTATGGAGGTCACATGGTTAATGGAGACTTAGCTCAGGTCTGTGTCACGGTGAATCCGGCGGGTCTTTGAACTTACTCTCTGGTTATTTTCCTTGTTCCAGAATGTATAATTGGTGTAGGCATAATTAGCTGCTGGCAGAATCTCCACCTTTGTTCCCTACCTATGGTGTCAGAGTTATTATGGTTGGAAAGACTAAGTGAAAGGCTCAACACTGAATTTACCTTGGAAAATAGTAATTCAAAAGTAATACTGCATTCCTGGAGGGATTGCCTAGGTTAGTGCCACCATCAAGTACTTAAAAGATGCAAGAGTGGTGATTCTCGTCGCATCCCCATTCAAGTCTTTTATTTGGCCTATGCAGAAGACAGATGGATCTTGGATAATGACAGTCAATTACTGAGAATTAGTAAGTGATGACTCCAGCTGCAGCTGTTGTCAGATGTGGTTTCATATCTTAAGCGAGTTAACACATCCCCAGGTACTTGATATGCCGCTATTATTCTGGCAAATGCCTTTTTCTTTATCCCTTTACACAGGCTCATTAGACACAGTTTTCTTTCAGTAGTCAAGGACAGCAATTTACATTCACTCTCCTACCTAGGAAGAATATCAACTAGCTAGCCCCATGTCATAATTTAGTTTGCAGGGATCTTTGTTTCAACTTTTATTTTAGGTTCAGGAGGTACATGTGAAGGTTTGTTACATTGGTGTATTCCATAATGCTGAAGTTTGGGATACCATGGGTCCTGTCACCCAGGTCCAGAGCAGAGTATCCAATAGGTAGTTTTCCAATAGTAGTTGACTATTCCCCCTTAAATAGTCACCAGTGTATATTGTTCCCATCTTGTGTCCATGTGTACCCAATGTTTAGTTGCCATCTATAAGAGAGAATACACAGTATTTGTGTTCCTGCATTAATTTCCTTAGGATAATGACATCCAGTAGTGTGCAGAGATATTTATAGTTTTTTCCTTCTGTATTACATTAGTCTATTATATTGATATCATTATGTAGATTTGGCCTATTGAGCAATAAGCAGCAATTACTCTAGACTTACTGGTAAGACATTTGCACATGAGAGGGTGGGAAATAAATATAACTAAGTTAAAGGATCTTCTACCTCAGTGAAATTTTTAGGGAACAAGTGATGTGGGACATGCTGTAATATTTCATCCAAGATGAAGGATAAATTGTTGCATCTGGCTCCTCCTACATCCATAAAAGGGGCACAATGTCTAGTGAACGTAGTTAGATTTTGGAGGCAGCTTATTTCACATTTGGGTGTGTTACAAAGAATGACCTAAAAATATGCTAGTTTTAAATCGTCCTCAAAATAAGAAAAGCTTCTGCAAGAGGCAGGCTGCTGTACAAGCTGCTCTGCCACATGGGCCATATGATCCAGCAGATCTCATGGTGCTTGAAGTTTCAGTGGCAGATGGGGTGCCCTTTGGAGGCTTTAGCAAACCCCTATAGGTGAACAACAGAGCAGGTCTTCAGGATTTTAGAGACCAGCCCTGTCATGATATGAGGATATCTGTTCTCCCTCTGAGATACTGCCCTTGGTCTACTATTGGGCCTTTATAGAACTAAATGCTTGAACATAGGTCACCAAGTTACCAAGTGAACTGAGCAACTTATCATGAACTTGACATCACATGCTCAATCCAGCCATAGAGTCTGGCATGTACAAAAGCACTACATCATCAAGCAGAAGTGGCATATACATACTCAGTCCCAAGCAGGCACAAGTATGTTACATGAAGTGGCCTAAAACAAAATTGACAAAATGAAAGGAGGCTGCCTTTCCCCAATGAAAACAAAAAATTTGTTCAAATGTCCATGGCTTCCACTCCTACTACACTGTCGTCTCTCTCCCAGCCTGCACCTAGGGCCTCATCAATTGATCCTAGAAAATTGACAGAGTAAGGGAAAACTTGAGCTTGATTTACCAATGGTTCTGCACCATACTCAAGGCACTACCTGCGAGTGGGCAGCTGAAGCACCACAGCCTCTCTCTAGGACATCCCTGATAGATGGTGATGAAGGTAAGTCCTTCCAATGTAAATAATTTGGGGTACTGAACCTGGTTATGTGCTTTGCTTGGAAAGAGAAAAGACTAGATGAGCAATTATATACCAACTTCTGGGCTGTCATCAATGGTTTGGTTGGATGGTCAGAGGTTTGAAAGCGCATGATTTCCCTATTGCTAACAAAGAAATCTGGGGATGAGGTATGTGGATAGACCATTCTGAATGGGGAAAAAAGTGAAGATATTTGTATTCTGTGTGAATTCCCAAAAAGAGAGACCACAGAAGAGGAGGATTTTAATAATTAAGTAGATAGAATGATCTTTTCTGTGGAACCCAGCCATCCTATTTCTCCAGCCACTTCTGTCATTGCATAATGGACTCATGAATAACATGGCCAAGGTGACAGGGGTAGAAGTTATGAATGTGCTCAGCAATGTGGAATTTCACCCCACAAGGCAGACTAGGCTATGGCCTCCACTGAGTGCCCAATATGGGAGTAGCAGGGAGCAACACTGTGCCCCCAGTACGGCACCGCTTTCCAGGGTGATCATCCAGCTACCTGTTGGCAAGTTGGTTACATTAGATCACTTCTAACATAAGAGAGACATTGCTTTATCCTAACTGGAATAGACACTGACTCTGTATAAGAATTTACCTTTCCTGCATGAAATGCTTCTGTTAAAACTCCCATCCATGGACTTACAGTATGCTTTATCCATTGTCATAGTATTACACACTGTTGCTTTTAAACAAGGAAATCATTTCACAACTAAAAAAGTGTGACAGTGGACTGATACTTATGGAATTCACTAGTTTTACCATGTTTCACACTATCCTAAAGCAGCTGCCTTGATAGAATGTGGATTTGCCTTTTGAAGACTCTGTTACAGCACCAGGTAGGTGAAAATACCTTATAGGGGTGGGGCAGGGTTTTCCAGAATGCTGTATGTGCTTGAATCAGCATCCAACCTATGGTACTCTTCCTCCTATAGCTAGGATTCATAGGTCCAGGAATTAAGGGATAAAAATGGGAGTGGCGCCACTCACTATTATCCCTTGTGACACACTAGCAAAATTTTTTCTTCCTGATCCCAGGGCTTTATACTCTGCTGGCCTAGAGCTCTTAGCTTCAGAAAGAGAAATCCTTCAACTAGGAGACATAAACAGTAATTTTATTGAAATATAAAAAGTTAAGACTGCCACCTAGCTAATTCGGCCTCCTTATATCTTAGAGTAAATACGTCAAGAAGAGAGTTACAGAATTGGCAGAGATGACTGATATGGACTACCAATGGAAAACTAGAATACCACTCTACAATGGAAGTAAGTAAGAGTATGTCCAGAATACAGGAGCTCATTTAGGTCTTGTCTTAATATTACCATGTCCTGTGACTAATGTCAATGGCGAGCTCTAACAACCCAATCTGGGGAAGACAAATAAAGGTGCAGACCTTTCAAGAATAAAAGTTGTGATTACCACACCAGCTAAAGAAAGAACTATAAGCAGCTAAGTATCTTGCTGAAGGCAAATGTAATACAGAATGAGTGGGAGAAGGTAATTATGAACACTAGCTATGACCACATGACCAGTTATAGAACAGAAAACTGTAACTGTCATGAGTATTTCCTTCTTATGTTATAAATAAATGTGTATTTATATACATGTATTAATTATTTATCTTTGTTTTCTTTCTTCTCTTGTTTCCTTATCATGTAACATAAGATGCGTTATTTTAAATACGTTTTTAAGAGTTTTAGTTTTACATCATATTAAGTTGCAGGGCATCAGATGAAGACTGAACATCACTTAAAGACGACTTTTCCTGAAGATGGTAGTGGTGTATTTTCAGTTGTATACAGGTTAGTTACATCATATTAGGCAGAATCATTAGCTTCTCCTTGTCTTTATTTGTAGATTATCATTTAAGGAAATGCATATGAGTATCAAGTTGAAAAGGGATGGCCTGGTGATGGTTAATTGTAGGTGTAAACTTGACTGGACAAAGTGATGCCCAAAAGCTGATAAAACATTTTTTTCTCTGTGTTTCTGAAAATGATTAGCATTGAATCAGGAGACTAAGTAAAAACAGTCCACCTTCACCAATGTGGGCAGGCATTATGCCATCTGTTAAAGGCCCAAATATAACAAAAACTCAGAGCAAATTTCCTCTTCGCTTTTCTTGACCTGTAACATCCACCTTATTCCCTTAAATATCAGAGGTGCTGATTCTTCAGCCTGTGGATTCTAAGACTTACAACCCTACCCCCAGTTCTCAGGCCTGTGGCCTCAGATTGGATGACACTATTGTCACTCTTGTTCCTCAGGTCATTGGGATTGAATTACACCAATGGCTTTCCTGGTTCTCCAGTTGGCAGACAGCATGTTATGAAATATTTTGGCCTCTATAATTATGTGAGCCAATTCCTACGATAAATTTTCTCTTCTCTCTCTCTCTCTCTCTCTCTCTCTCCCCCCCCCCCCGCTCCATATTGGTTCTATTTCTCTGGATAATTCTGACTAATATACCTTTGTTGAGGAGAATGTAATGCTCAGGTGTATTTCAAAATGATTACTTTCCCCTCTTTCTGTCAGAACCATAAGGAGATTTTTATCTTGTCTTCACAATCTCTTATTTCATAACAGCCACACTAACAGGTCTGAGGTCATATTCCATTAAGGTTTTAAGTGAATTTTCCTAATAAGTAGTGTTGTGGAGCCTCTTTATTATAACTCTGTTGGCCATTTGTATATATTTTTGGAAAAAAAAGGTCTATACAAGGCTTTTGTCTACTTTTTAATATTTCTTTTTTTTCTTTTTTTCCTATTGAATTGCTATTTGTTTTGAAAAAAAGTACATACATACATGAATGATTTGTATATTTGAGATATTAACTCTTGGTCATATATATTGTTTGCAAAGATTTTCTCCTATTCTGTAGGTTGTCTTTTCATTTTTTTATTATTTGTTTTCCTGTCTAGAAGCTTTTAGTTTGATGTAATCCCATCTACTTTTGCTTTCATTGCCTATGGTTTTTGTGTCATATTCAAGAAAACATCACAAAGACCATGTCAAGAAGTTATTTTCATATGTGTTCTAAGAAATTTATAATGTCAAGTGTTACATTTAAGTCTTCAATCAATTTTGTGTAAATGTTTGTATATGGTGTAAGAATTCAATTTCTTTATTTTTGTATGGAGGTCCAGTTTTGCTGATACTATTTGTAGATAAGATTATCTTCTACCCATTATGTATTGTTGGAACCTATGCCAAAGATTGGTTAGTCATATATTCATGAATTTATTTCTGAGCTCTATATTTTGTTCCATTGGGCTATGTGTTTGTTTTTACACCAGTACTATACTGTTTTGATTACTGTAGCTCTGCAATATAATTTGAAATCAGAATGTATGATACCTCCAGCTTTGTTCTTCTCAATATTGTGAAGATATTGGCTATTTGTGGTCTCTTGTGGTTTCATATAAACTTTTGATTATTTTTCTTTTTTTATAAAATGTCATTGAGATTTTCATAAGGTTAGCATTGTATCTGTAGATTGTTTTGGGCAGTATGGGCATTTTATGTGTTTCAATCCATGAACACAAAATGGCTTTCTATTTACTTATAACATATTTAATTTCTGTAATGAATGGCTTGTAATTTTCATTGTACAATATTTTTATCTCCTTGATTGAAACTATTAATAAATACTGTATTCTTTCTGATGCCATTGTAAACAAGATTGTTTCCTAAATTATCTTTCTGAATAGTTAACTGCTAGTATATATAAACACAACTGATTTTTGCATGTTTATTTTGTATCCTGAAACTTTACTAAATTTCTTTGTTTTAACAGGTTTTTATTTTTGGTAGAGATTTTAAAGATTTTCTACATATAAGATATCATTTGCATACAGGGATAATTTTAGTTCTTCTCTTGGAATATGGATTTTTTTTCTGTATCTTACTGCTCTAGCTAGGATTTCCAGTATTATGTTAAATAAAAGTGGGAAGAGTGGTCATCCTTTACTTTGTCCTCATCTGAGAAGAAATATTTTCAGCTTTTTTTTCATTACCTATGATATTAGCTGTGGGTTTCTCATTTATGCCCTTTATTATGTTGTGATACATTTCTTCCATATCTAATTTGTTGAAAGATTGTATTATAAAAAGTGTCGATATTTGTCAAATATTATTCCTGCATCTGTGGATATAATCATATGACGGTATTCTTCATTATAAAAATGTGATTTATCACACTGATTGTGTATACTGAAACGTTCTTTCACCTCAAAGACAAATCTTACTTGGTAAGTGTGTACAATTCTTTTAATGTGATATTGAACTTGGTTTGCTAGTATTTTTTGATGATTTTGCATATATATTCATCAGGGACATTGACTTGTATTTTTTTTGTGTGTGTGTGGTGTTTTTGTCTGGCTTTTATATGAAGGGAATCCTGAACTTGTAAAATGAGTTTGGAAGCATTCCGCCCTCTTCCATTTTTTGTTAGAGTTTGAGAAGGACTGGTGTTAATTATTGTTTAAATGTTTGCTAGAATTCACCTATGAAGCTCTCTGGCTCTTGTGTTTTCCTTGTTGAGAGGTTGTTGATTAGTAACTCAATTTTCTTAAAAGCCATAGGGCTGCTCAGGTTTTTGATCTCTTCATGATTCAGTCTTGGTAGGTTATATGCTTCCTGGAATTTATCCATTTCCTCTACACAATCCAATTTGTTGGTACGTAATTCCTTATAGTAGTCTCTCATAATCCGTTTTATTTCTGTGGCATCAGTGGCAATGTATCCTGTTTCATTTCTCATTGTAAGAGTATAGTTTAATTGTGGAGGAGGGAAAAGGCAGGAATGACAAATCTTGAAAAATTATTCTAAGAAATATATAGAATAAAATGAGAATAAAGACTTAAAATACTTTACAGAAATGTATTTTGGTTTTATTATAATATCAACATATGTAAAATACTTCTTTATAATATTTTATAGTCTGAAAAATAATATTGAATTTACTATTTTCTAACATTATTAATCCTCTTAAGAAACATGTTATTTGCATTTTTTGCATGGTTTTGGTAATGAAAAATGTGATATTGCCATTCTTCATGTTTCTAGCTGACTTCCACTGACTTTTATTTAGACAAGGATCTTTCAAGTTTTTTTTAAATTTGTCTTTTAGAAAAAAATCTCAAAAGAAGTAAAAATTCAAATAGCATTACAAAACTAGAGAAATAAAATCATTGAGGGTAAATCTAACAAAATTAGAGAATCTTACAAAAGACTTACTGGAATATATTAAACTGTGTAAAACACCTTTACTTTTCATCATTGTGATGGTTAGTATTGAGTGTCAACTTGATTGGATTGAAGGATGCAAAGTATTGTTCCTGGGTGTGTCTGTGAGGGTGTTGCCAAAGGAGATTAACATTTGAGTCAGTGGACTGGGAAAGGCAGACCCACCCTCAATCTGGGTGGGCACAATCTAATCAACTGCCAGCACAACCAAAATAAAAAGCAGACCGAAGGATGTGAAAAGGCTTGTCCAGGTGAGTCTTCTGACCTCCATCTTTCTCCTGTGCTGGATGCTTCCTGCCCTCGAACATCAGACTCCAAGTTCTTCAGCTTTGGGACTCTTGGACCTTCCACCACAGACTGAAGGCTGCACTGCTGGCTTCCCTACTTTTGAGGTTTATGGGACTTGGACTGGCTTCCTTGCTCCTTAGCTTGTGGACGGCCTATTGTGGAACTTCACTTTGTGATTGTATGAGTCAATACTCCTTAATAAACTCCCCTTTATATAGACATGTGTCCTATTAGTTCTGTCCCTCTAGAGAACCCTAACAATCATACTATGCTTTCTGGAAATATAACGAGAAAAGTGAATATAAGCCATATTTGTTTCATTTTACGATGAACAGAACAAAAAGTTAAAACTTAACCTATAATTTACAATTGGAGTGCTAATGGGTGGCAACCCATTTTTGAAGGCTTGTAATTGAAATTGTTTTATCAATAAATATATTTTTACTTACAATAAATGACATTTCCTAATTTGTACCACTTTCTTCTTAACATGTGTTGCAGCATTTATTAACTAAGAGTTACTATTGACATTGCTGCTTCACACTAATATTTGATCTTCCATTTTAAGACACAAGTATCATCCTTATAGAGCCAAAGGTGCTCGTGTGTTCTTGCCAAGATATTCTAGAATAAATGTTTTGCCATCTTCAATGTATACAAAATTTTTTTAAATATGCAATTCAATTTATAGTTTTTTAAAATAAGTGAATAATTTTTGTATAAGGTTAAAATGCTAATTAAGAACACATTTATATATCAAATACTGGAATAACTACCAAATATTAATGATTAAGAAATATTTTTTACCTAAAACATTGTTGACTGAATACTTCAAAACTAATTTTATCAAGTATTCTGAATTTCATTTATTTTATATTATCACACATCTAGCTCATCTATAAGCATTCTATACCAGATGTCTCCAATTGAATTGAATTGTATATCATTTGTAAAAATTAATGCTAAATAATACATACACAAATGACAGATTTGAAGGGTAGAATGGAAGAAAACTTATGTTTATTTGTGTTTTCTTCCTCTGGAGTAAATACAAATAGTGAATAAAACACAGTGAATAAACACCTGAAATAAAACATTATTTTTTGAGAGCGTAGATATAAATGATGTGATGCAAATCAAACTAATGTTTCGTCCCTTTACCTCTCAGCAGATATTGGAAGTGAGTGAGATGAAGAAATTATTATGTATCTCTGAAAGGAAATATCAAATGTGTGAATTATTAAATATGAGCATGATTTACCTCTCATTAAATATTTTCTAAACTTTCTCTTGCTAGCATTTTGGTTTTTTGAAATCCTGTAATATTTTATTAGAATTTTACAGTTTTAACCACCTAATGCCTGCTTTTATGATTGCTCAAGAACGTGCCCTCTCTGTATTTCAGGAATGAAAGCTTACTTAAAGCAAGGGTCAAGTCTCACACACACTTTTATCTCCAATTTAGTACTTGAATTTTTATAGCATTCTGAAGAAACTATTGTTTTTACACAAAATTATCTTTCTGATTATTGTAGTTTTTTTTTTTTTTTTTTTTTTGAGACGGAGTCTGGCTCTGCCGCCCAGGCTGGAGTGCAGTGGCCAGATCTCAGCTCACTGCAAGCTCCGCCTCCCGGGTTCACGCCATTCTCCTGCCTCAGCCTTCCGAGTAGCTGATTATTGTAGTTTTATTGTCTTTTGGGTTCTATATTCTATCATCAGGTTTAAAGCAAAAGAGAGACTCTTTCACGTTCACCCTACTGCCCCCCAAAAAGGGCAAAATCAAAGGAAGATGAGAAGCCAACAAAGAAAAACTGTGAAAAAAATAAAGATAAATAAAAATTACATTACT